AACATTTATTCAGGTACATTTAGGTCTACATAATAACAGTGACTTATCATTAATATGTGATGGTTAAAGTTCTTCAATGCTCCTAACAAATGAAAAAAAAATTATTATTTTCTTGTCATGGTAATTTATTAAAAGAGGACATTTCATAAACTTTTTCTCACTAACACTAAGGTAATACAAATAGTGCTTTTGTTTTTAAAAGACAGCATTGTCATTCTTTGAAACAGAATTTTATATATAAATGTATAATGGAACAGTTATTGGTTTTTGTTGATAGATGTGTCTTGGTTCTTTGCCTTTTTTATTATCTAGTCTTTTATCACACTCTGGTGGGCCATTTCTCCAGGACTGAGGATTCCCAAGGTCAACAGTTTGTATTATTATGCCCACGTTTCTATTTTTCATCTCTCGTGATGCTGTCTTAGGTTTGCTCAATATGGGGTTGGGTACCAGCTTCATGCTTTGCCCTTCAAGCTTGTTTTGGATCTGAATGTCTTTCATACAGCCTGTGCCTTCTTTTCTGACATACCTCAGCCTATATTTCTTGTTCATGATGGAAAAGATTTTGGCAGAGTTTTTCCTACCAAGCCTTACCTCATTTTGTACGTATATTGTCTTGATTCTACCTCAGCCTTTTTTTCATGATTTCATGACTTTTCTGTTGGATAGCTTTAGCCTTCATTCTTTCCTCTTCTCTTCCGGTGTCTTCTGTTTCTGTTATTTTACATCTTCAAGAGATCTTGTTTCTTGCCCACAGTGATCTATGGCAGTGTTGGACCTAATGGCTACAATGACTATTAGATGGGTTTCTCATCCTTTTTAGGTTTTACTTTCCATCATTCCATGGTTCCCAGGAGATCTGTAGATAGATGTTTGGTCTTACAACTTTCATGTCTCAGTTGGTTTCTCTTCTTTCCTTAAGAAATTTCCCACCTTACAGTGATCTTTTGCCCCAGGTCTGGGGATGACCGAGGTAGACATCATGGATGTTTTTATTTAGTTGGCTTTGTCTCAACAAACCTCCTACAGCCACCCTCTTCTCCTTTGGGAGGCATCTTGTCTAGGTTAGTTGGTTCATCTTGGAGGAGTCACATCTCATACCCATTTTGTTTCTCAAATCATTTGGGTGTCTTTTGTTTGTATGTCTGCAGGGCCTAGCCTTCTACTCTTCTTTTAAGAAACATGGAGTAATGGTTTCCCATGTCATATCTTCTCCTTCCCTCACTGTGTAGGAAGTTCTCTTACTTTTGGGGACTTGGGCTTTCATGGAATACTGTATTCCCTTGGGTCAGCTCATTTGTGATGTCTACAATGAACTGCACATTCTTAGGATCCTTGCTTGAGATGCCTTGTTTTCAACCATTCTCCTTCCTTACTCAAAGACTTCACCTAGTGACTTAAAACTACTCCCATAGAGGTGTTCCTCTTGTCCGGGTCTTCTGTTTCCAGATGCCATATTGACGAGAAGGGGGCATGTCTCAACTCTTATGTGAATTCAGATCATTGGTAACCAACACATTGTCCCTTCAAATCCATCTCTTAGATCTTTTGGTAGTACATAAAATTTTAATTTTTTTTGGGGGGGGGGGATAGTTCTAAACGTCTCTTGATGATGCATACAGTCAACCCTGCAGTTGTTTCCTTTATCATTCAACAGAACACCGTGTCTCACTTTCTCTGTTTCCACACTATTGCCCTCCTTTTCTGGGCACATTCTACACTAGCACATCTAATAGCTTGTTCTGTTTTGGATTCCTAAGTCTTATCCTGAGGCCTGCCAACATACTACCTACACATTGGTCCCTCATTCCTCTGAAGTTCAAGCTGCTATGTTTTCACCTGGAACTTCTTCTCATTCTGTCAGGACTGGTTCAACTTTCATCTCCATGCTTACCTTTCTTCTCATCTTTTTCCTTGTGTGTTCTTTCATTCTGGACACTCTGTGTTGAGTCCTACTGATAACTCCTTATTGTCTGGCTCAGCTTGGTTTCTTTTATTGCACCTTCTCTTGTCCTCTCTTCCGCTATATCCTTCAACCTCACTCCTCCCCTTCTATCTAGAAGTGTCATCACTCTGACTTCATGTGTGGGTTTTGTCCAGTCCCTTGCAAGATATTTCAGACTCTCTTTAAATGTAGCCTTCCTTTTCCTTGTTCTGTTCATTCTTCCTCCTTTCTTGTCTATTCACGACAAGAGTGCACATTCCATAGTTGATCTCAGCATTATATTTTCTTCCATTCCCTTCCTTCTATCCCTATTTTGTTGTTCAAACAAGGCTTATCACCCTTGCTCATGGCTGGTTACTGGGCAGCTCTATCCAATATATTTGTGGTGTCGTCTTATTGTCATGTATTCTTCTCTCGTGTCTTTTCTATGCTCTTTTGTTCATTTTACTACCGTCATCCTCCTTGTCTTGCAGTACTACCTGACTTGGACCTTAATACTGTTCTTCATGCCTTTACCCATCTTATCTTTGACACTTGCCTCTTGTTTCTTGTATTGTTCCTACTTTGGACCTTTTGCCTGTGGCCATAGGAAATATTATATATATGGCATTTCTGCTTCTCATATTTATTTTCCTTCCATTTCTAAGTATTCTCATTCCATTCCGATTTTATTTTTTTTCTGTTCCATCCATGTGGTTTGTTGTTCTTTGACCTGCTCTGCTTCATTTCACAGTTCATGCTCCCATTTTTTTATTCTTTGGAATTCCTCATCTTCCAGAGATATTTCTTCTGCTAATCTCAAAGGATGGCTGCAGCACCTAATCCATTTAGCCTATGCTTCTTTAGATGTAGATTCATATCAACTCTTTCAAGTCTCTTCACAAAACTTAACCATCTCTCTCTCCCACTGATTCTTCACTTCTGTCATCTGTTGAAGGAGTTCATGCACACTGGCATGTGGACTACCCCACTTATTTTCACTGAACATTTTCTTCACTTTGATGAAATATCTTCTTCCGGATATTGACTTCATCCTTTTACCATTTTCCTTCCCCTTACCAGCTCTGAATATGTAAATTCTCATTTTATATATCTTAGCTTTACAGTGGTCTATATCTATGTCTCTGGATCCCACTCAGTGGTGAGTGGTGTCTGTCTAGGTTTACTTAACTTTAAATGTGCACCATATGATGTTCAGGTGTATAGTGCTAACTGATGAGATGGGATGTTCCACAAGACTGCTAGAGGGTTCCTTGCAGTATCTTGCTTCATAAATAAGGCCCATTCCAACTCGTAGACTATCATGAGTAAAGCAGTGTCTGCATCATTGCCCATCCCTCCCATCCTAGTTAAATAAATCAGGACTGGCCTACTTTTCAAAATAGGTTTTTGTGGTCACACATTGCACTGTCTTATGATGATGTTTCCCCCCTCTTCCAGTGGAGTACAAGAGTTCTTGCTGCTTACTAGTTGCTCATCCCTCTGGTCCTAGTTGAATAAACTGGGATTGGACTGCTTTTCAAAATATGGATTTCGTGGTCACCCTTTGCACTGTCTTATGACATTGCTTTGCTTTCCTCTGGACTTCCCACTGTGTTGTGTCCCCCTCTTCCAGTGGAGTATTGGAGTCCTTGCTTCTTACCAGTTCCTAGCCACTGGGGTGGTGTACCATGGAGGCTTCCTCCTGAGTGTGACTGCTTCCACTCAGTTGAGAATAGGGTGGTGGTGTTCTGTTGGTGTAGATGGTGAGTACTCTCCTCCTACTGCAGACTGCAAGACAAATTTCCAGTGCTTGGTTTCGGACTGAATGAATCAACCACGTGCAGTTCACTTCTCTGGCTGGATTTTCCCCTTGTCACTGTTGCCTGGATGTCGGTTCCTGGGCAGTCTTATGTTGGATTGGCGTAAGACCAGCAAACATAAGTCTTCACAGATGTGGATGGTAGGGATCAGATGAAAAATTTCCAATGTCACCTGGTTTTGGACTGGAGATGACCCACCACATTTGCATTCCTCCTTCCTACCGTCACCCAGATATTGGGTTCCTGCGTGGCCTTGTGTTAGTTGTGTACTGTGTCTGCCTGGGTTGTTGGAATGGAAGTTGCTTTTCTATTCTGCTTCCTGGGTCTTAGATGAAGACATGTGGGACCCTCTTCCTTCTGTGGACCAGAAGACAAATATCCAATGCTACTTGGTTTTGGACTGGAGTTGACCCACATGCACTAGCCACTCTACATCACCTGAAGCATCCTATTACGGACTGGATTGGCATCTTTTCTGCCCAATATAGTAAAATGTTATCTGTAAAATGAGTGAAGGGTATACCTGGTACAGATGGGGTACAGTCTCCCACAAGTGTGACCCAATACATTAGAGTATCTCATCCCATGGGTTCTCTTTGGGCACCTTTTTAAGAGTGCTCATTTAAGTAACTATTCAATGTGGGATTCTGGCTATTATGTGAGAAGAGGTAAGGTATTGTATTTTTCTACACTGGAAATGTCTGTTTTTGCTTAATCTTGAAGTAATGATTGTGCTCTACACTCTACATTATAGAGGGAATCAGCTGTGCTAGGAGGATGGGTCACATTCCTATTGGTGGAGGGTTGTCAGATGCTTATTTGCATGTTATGTTGGGTGGGGGACTCAAGGCTAGTGGTGAGCAGAAATTTTGCATATAGAGGGCAGCACAAATTGAGGAAAGCTATTATATGAGTGGAAGTATCTATTGGAAATACATTTTTAGTGTAAGAGAATGTTAACTTTAGAGAGAGAGACTAATAGATTGTATGAAATGTCTTTTTAGTGCATATTTTAAAATTATTTTCCACTAGTTGTTTAACTGTTTCTCTCAGGTTTTGAAATGAATTTAATTTCCTATGAATTCATTACCAAAAAATGTATTTCAACATTAACAGCTAAAATTCTAAGAAAATTAGACAGTTTATATTTAAAACTGAGTCAGAAGATAGTGCTTTAATATTCACACTATTTGATCATAATTCTACTAAGTTTCAGGCATATACCTGAAGAAGTCTTCATAACTTTTTTACAGGTACTTACAGCAGAATCAACAAATGAAGAACCACTCAGCATAATGTCATCAGGTGTCAGTGTTTCTGTATTTGAAAATAATAATGATAAGGGATGTTCCAATCATGATGAGGCTTTGAAACAAACAGAAATATGTGTTAAAAAAGAAAAAGAAGATTTGGAAGGTGTGTTTAATTTAGGAGGTAGGAAGTATTCTTATTGGTGACACATTTACTCTGTTTTATACCAGCCTTGTTGATGTGTTATTCTAAAAGTTTTGTACACATTATAGCTTGTACTGGATAAGGTTTTTTCTAGGACAAGCTAAAGGAAAATTTTAAATCTTGAAGTCATAGTCTGTGAATGAATGAGAAGTTCCACATTTGTTTTAAAGCAGCACTGTCTAATAAAATGTGTTCCATGTGTTTTTTTTTTCAAACATTATTTAATATAAACAAATATAAATTCAAGTATACTGTGTAATAACTTAACAAAGAAAAATACAATCTTATATATCAAGTTCAAAAATTACATCATGTACTATAAGTGTAGCCTTTCACAAGCCACTTCATTAGCCAAAACTGTTAAATATATTCTATCATGTTTTCAAGGGTTCTCTGTAAATAAAAAAAATATTAATGTTTTTTGCTGATCATAATTTAAAAATAAATTCCTAGCATCTTTTTTAATAGCTGTTATCTATTAAATAGGCATTATTTATTTTTTCAAGTATTATTAATAATGTTAATGAAAGAGTGAAAGACTAACAGTTGTTCATTAATAAATTGTCCAAATATGGTAATTCTGTGTGCAGTTCAAGTTCATGCTATATTTCTTATCCTTCACAACTTAGCAACCTGGTCAATGACATTGCTTTGCTTTCCTCTGGACTTCCCACTGTGTTGTTTCCCCTCTTCCAGTGGAGTATTGGAGTCCTTGCTTCTTACCAGTTCCTAGCCACTGGGGTGGTGTACCATGGAGGCTTCCTCCTGAGTGTGACTGCTTCCACTCAGTTGAGAATAGGGTACTTTTGAAAGTAGTCATGATTGGTGTCAAATAGAAAAACATTTAATTCATATTTATGCTACATTAGGATATTGTGGAACTTAAAATTCATTTCTATCCCTTTTTTTGTTTCTGACACTGTGTGTATATGTGTGTGTGGAGAGTGGGTGTGTCATGTTCAATACATTAGCCCATTTTCCAACACATTACAGCCAAACTAAAGCACAGTACATGCAATGGTATTAAACAATAACCTTGTGGTTTTTACATTATACTTTTAATAATTGGCATTTTTTATGTAAATATATGCAAAATGAGTTTCACTTACAAATACATGCAATTTCTAATGAAATAACTGATAGGAAAATATTTTTAAATGTTAAAAACTTCTACATATACAAATGCAATAATATTTTAAAGATTTTCCACACTTAAGATACCCTCAGGATATTCATGTCAATGGAAAAGACATTTGGCTGCGTTGTTTCTGAAAAAGAGATTCTGAAGAAAATGCACTACCACCAAGGTATTCATACCGTTAGAAAACCATGCAGGTGTTATGTACAAGAGGGAAAAAAGTGTTACAGGAACCTATTAATTACCTTTGAGAAATACTACCCAGTTTGAGAAACAATTATGTTTACTTATGAACTTCCTTGAAAAAAAAACTATAATTTACATTGTTTAAAAAACTTTGTATCTATGCTATTAGTACAGATTTGAGTCAGATCCAGCAGATTCATATATAAAAGACAATTACTGTAACCATTATCTCACTTTTGTGCAATTGCTAACTGTGTTTAGAATTACCTTTGGTAGAACGAATATATTGTCTTGTAAACAACATAAACATAAATACTTAAATAAAAATATGTGTGTTATCAATGGCAGTATATTATTATCAAGACTGAAAAATTATGTTTATTTGAACACTTCTCAATGAATGTGGGGGGTAAGCTTTATGAATATACTTTTATTATTGATGTTTCAAGTACAGTTGTTTACCAGAAAATGGCTGTGTTATAAATAATAATATCTTTGGAAATTTTCCAGCTTTTTTCCATATAGGAATGTTTAGCTTCAGGTAGGTATAGGAAAACCATTTATTCCCTTAACCCATTACCTGTCGTGGCCATTTTGATCTTATCGTGAGGGCAAAATCACATTTGTGAATTGAAAAAATTATAGAGAACTTATCTTTTATTGGATTTCAGATTTTATTTTTGTAAATGGTGGCATAACATTCAATTATTTGTACAAAATTGTATTATTTAATGAAGTTTAAAGAGGAATTTAATGAAAAAAATCCTAAAATACGTTTTAGACTGTAAATAAGCACCCTCTAAGAAGAAAATTTTTGTTCAAAATTTAAAAAAAATTTTTCTTCCACTTCAGCACTGGCCCTGCCATCTATGATTGGTATCTAAACCTTTTTCTAGTCTGTTTTCTTTATAAAACAGTGTCTGGGCATGTTAAACCTCAGTTGTAAAACTTTTAGCCAATCCTAGTTGAAGGTGTCAATTTCAGTACCATGTTATTCCAATCACTGTATTTCACGTTTGACAAATCATAGGATGATAAGGAAAGCACATGATGAAACATTGTTCTCTGGATTTTACAATATGAATGTGGGTGGTGCTTATTATAGTAACTGCCATTTTATGTAGAGGTTGTATTTAGTATTGGTCAATAGTGCTTTTCAATAAGCGTTAGAAAACTTGCTTCTGGAAAAAACCGCCTGGGATGTACGTGACTTTTATTATTCTTATATTGTAGCTTAAGTCATGCTGCATCGTATATCTATTTATATTAATCATTATATTGAAAAATTAAGTCAAAATAGATATATTTTTTTAGGAAAGAAATTGATCCACAATTGAGTGCAAGGTATTTACACGAATTAGGCTTAGCACTTTGAACTGAAAGAGTTTGTGATTTTTTATATTCTTTTGCATTTAAATTTGTAGTTTTAAGTTCAATAATTTAGCATAGTTTTATATTTAATTCATAATAATAATAATATGATTCAGTATTTAGAATGATAAGCTTTTGTGATTTGTATGTAATACTACTAGTACCAGTACCACATAAGAATTTGATATTTTTCCTTCTTACAATCTTTACTTTGTAGTAAGACCCACACTTCTGTTGTTATTGGTTTAGAATTAAAACAGTCTAACTGATGTATATAAAGTTTATTCTGATATTTTGCAAATGGTTTAAAACTCGGTGTACAAGTGACAACAATAAAACCCATATGTTGGTTGTGAAACAGACTAAATACATTTATCTCAATAATACAGGGAAGCTGTGACATTCTCACAGTTGGGGTGTCAATACACTGAAGAGCTTAAGTTTCGAATTCCAACATAAATCTTGCCTATAATGAGAGGAATGTGACCAGGACTAATCTTTTAAGTACTGCAAAGTACTTTTCTTTGTAATTTATGGTGTCTGTATCATTTGGTAATTTCTTCTAACAGGATATATCAAGTAACTAGGGTAAGCAGTGTTATTGAAACCACCTGTACTTTAAAATATTACATACATTTGCTAGTAGTTGCAATTAGTTTTGTCTCTATAGTGAAACAACATACACGGACATATGTTGAAATAAACTTGTTTGAAAGTTCAAAGAAATGATATTCAAGTACCGAAAAGCTTTCTTACTATCATATCTACAGTAATGTTCAAAAGCACCCGTGCTGGGCTGAACAAGTGTGACCCCCCAACAGGGTGAGATAGTTTAAGGAGAATGTACAAAGTTCACGCTGTTAACCCAATGGTTTATTTGGCACAATAAACAAAACATAAACTTGAAATAAAAATACATTTATGAAACAAAATTAAAATGTTTTTATATACATATATATAAACATGAAATCCTAGTTTAAAATAAAAATACTCATTTATTGTTTAGGTTTATTTACAAATATTATTTCAGGGTCTTGTATATTACTTGAAACCATAAGGAGAGTATGTGATTATTAAAAAAATTAAAAATAGATAAAATTTGCATTTTTATGGATGATACAAATTTTTGGGATTTCAAAATAATGTACTAAATCATAAAAGTAATAAGTTCAAATCTGGAACAAATATAAATATTGTAATCATTTCTTATAAATACCATTTCCTAATGTAATTTTCCAAGATATTAAAGATTATAATGCAAAAAACTAAATTTATCAAAAGTAACGGGCTTTATGTTTCTTAAACTATGTGCATTTATGAAAGTTCTTATGAAGTTTCAAACACTTTCATCCACTAATTTTATTGTTGGAATGAGATATAGCAAGACTTGTGTTGGCTACTAAGAAAGTTAGTAGCCAGTTGTCATTGGAATAAACCACTAACTTCCTTAAAGTAATTATTTAAAAGTTGTATTTACTTGTGACCTTGAAAGAAAAATACATCAGCACCTTTAAATTATTTCTATAAATTTGTTATTATAAAACTGTCAAAGCTGAAATGAAGCCCTGTATTAGGTCTTTTTGTGAAAATTCATGTTTAAATAATTGTTTTTGAAGTAATATTACAAGAAAAGCTGATGGTGTTCTGCTGTTTACTTCTGAAATAATTAAGAAACTGAGGCATTTTTATATTTACTAAAGAGAGTACAATTATCATCAAAATAGATACACTAGTATAATGGCTTAAAGGGTATAAAACCATTTTTTTATTAGATTAATAACAAGTTAGGCTTGATCCCATAAGTGCATCATTAGTGTGGTCATGCAAAATATTTTTTTTACTATCTATGAGATTTTCTCAATTGCATAATTTGCAAGTTAAAAAAATTTAGGAAATCTGATATTTTCTCCATTTCTTGATAGTTTAACAAGTGACTCTATATTCTCTTATATCTAAGGAAAATTAAAAAATATGGTTAGATATGTATTCATTAAAAGTAAATTTACAAGAAAAATATCCAAAATACTGGAAGCTTACAAACACAGCTGGGTGTACCTATGTATAATATTTAAAAAATTGGTCTGACTGGGCAGCCTTCTGAGTACAGTACCTTTTTTACTTAATTTATTTAGTTTTATTAAGACAATTTCCTGCACAATACCTTACCCCCTCTCACATAATAACTTTTCTTAACTTGTGTTGCCCACTATTTGCACAATTTTTCCTTGCCACTAGCCTTGATGCTCCCACCTACCCTCATGTGATCTCACATGGTGTAGCATGCAACACCCTCCACCATTAGAAGTGTAACACACTCTCCTAGCACAGCTGACTCCCTCTATACTTCATAGCACTATCATCACTTCTTAATTTGGCATTCAAGTATACAGTTGTGCTCAAAGTTTCCCTCAGTGCTTCGTTTTCTTGTGTACACTTTAACTTTTTTTCTACAGTATTGATAGCTTTCGTTTATTGTCATTTCTTTGTTATTGTACCAAAATATTTTTGCAGAAAGTTTTTCTTTTCCACATAATGATTCTAAATTTAATATTACTACATTGGCTTCTGATATGGATCCTGCCAGTGCAGATCTAACCACACTTACTATTACTGTGGCTTCGTACTCCATACTTTTGGTAGAGGATGTCTCAGCCTTGGTGCATTGCAAGTTGGAGTCTATCATGCAGTCTGCTACATCCTGAGCCTCGGTTGGATCTCCTCTATTCATGAGGATTAAGTCTTGGACAGCCTTTTTCCACCTCTTGCTCTTGCTGTTCCTTCCAGATCTACCCCTCTCAGTCTCCCTTGTCCATCTTCTGCCTTTTTAGGAATAAGCTCTCAGGTTTGTTACATTTTGTCTCTTTCCCCTGTGTCTTATGATTCCTTCAACTCTCTTCTTCATTCTGGCCTAATGTCAGAATATTTATTTATCCCCCCTCCCCTGATATTCAGGTCTATGCTGAACAGTTTCTTACCCAATTTCATTCAGGTGCCAGTATTCCTAAGCACCCACGTTTGGCTGACTCCTATGCTTTGCATATCATGGGTCGGAGTTTACATTTCTGGATCCTCAGACCTTGGATTCACTGTTTCAGGCATGGGGCTCTGAACCTGCTACTAGCCTATGTTTATCCCCATCCCAGCTCTCTCGTCTTAACCTCACTCTCACTGCTATCCTCCATTGTCTCTCATCCATTTACTTCCTTTCCAAAGCCATCCACCATTCCCCCTGAGGAGTTTTTGGCAGATATATGCGTGTTTGTTTTCTCTGTGTTGGCATGCTTATCTCATTTGGCTTTGACACTTCCTACGCGGCTACTTTGTTGTTGGGATCTTCTTGGTAGGGACGCCTTTTTATCACATGTGTATTTGCATGCTTCCTATCTAATGCTTTAACCTATCTAATGCTCATTGAATAGATGGGGTGTTCCACAAGACTGCTAGAGGTTGCCTTACAATATCTTGCTTCATAAATAAGGCTAACACCAGACCATACCAACTCTTGAACTATAATGAGTAAAGCATTGCCAGGATCACTGCCCATCCCTCCAGTCCTGGTTGAATAAATTAGGACCAACCTGCTTTTCAAAAGAGAATTTTCATGGTCACCTATTGCACTGTCTTCCAGTGTTACATTCTTCTGGACTTCTCACCACAATGTGTCCCCCTCTCTTCCAATGGAATACAAGAGTCCTTGCCACTTACCACTTTCTAGCCTCTGGGGTGGTGGACCATGGAGGCTTCATCCTGAGTGTGACCAATTCTACTCGGGCAAAAATAGAGTGGTAGTGTTCTGTTAGTCTAGATGGTGAGTACTCTCCTCCTACTGTGGACCAGAAGACAAATACCCGACGTTGCCTGGTTTTGGACTATACAAACCCACTACATGCAGTTCACCCCTTTGGCTGGCTTTCCTCCATTCTACCACTGCTTTGATGATATTTCCCAGATAATTTGGTTTTGGACTGGAGTTGACCCTTCATCTTTGCATTCTCCTTTTTTACCTGGGTGACTGGATTATTACTGTATTTAATTTTTATTTCTTAGATACTAAAATTTATTTTTGCTTCTAGTGAATATGTTCCAAATCATAATTAAAAAGGCTTTAGACAGTTTTATTTACTTGCGTTTAACAAATAAATATTTATAACTACCTATGTAATAAGCTGCTCAAAACTTAGGAAAATTTTCTTAAACTTAAGTTTTTAAATGTATAGTAAATTTTTGTTTGCTAGTTAACACTTTTTTTATGAGTATCACTTAAAACATAACTAGAGTAATTTAAATTGTCTGTATCAAGATGATTACTATACAAATTAGTTGTTCATTCCCTTAATTGATATAAATTGTCTACACCAAATAATATTGTTTTGCTAGTTAATTTGTCATAAATAAAGCAGCTAAAATTCTCCGAAATTCAGAACATAATAATTTTCTGAAATATAGATTGTTTTGAAAGAGAAAACAGAGAAGTGTAAGCTTTGAAATTTGAAATTTTTAATGCAACATTCAAAAAATTTAGGTTAATTTAAAAATGCAACTTATTCATTTCAAGTTGAATACTTGAATGTTTTATCATTTTTCATATCTTAGAGTGAAAGTACTTTTCTGTAGCACTTAAAGGTCATGGCTGCTAAAATTATTAAACCATTACTGTCATGTGGAACAGATTAAGCATGTGTATTGTTAAATCTTATAAACTGCTTATAATGTTAAAAAGTTTGGACGTTTACACATTATTAGGTAACAGATGTGAAAAAGTTGTGAATATGTATATATATATAAAGTAAAAGTATTGTTGTTTAGGTGATTGTTGTGTAATAGTTTTACCTCTAATTGTTAAATGGAGACATATATTATCTGAAACTTTGATATAATAAATTCTTTCAATCCTGGTTTTTTTATCAGATTAAACAATTACAAAAGTATGGAATACATTTAAAACTGATAACTAAGATTATAAATAGATCAACAGATACAGATTTTTATCTTTTCTGATTTTAGATACGAAGATCTACACAAACAACCAGAATGAGAACCAGTTTTCAATGTGGTTTGACTTAAATAAAGAGGCTGAAGATTCCATAAAAATCTCAGGACATGAACAACCTCAGAAAAGAAATATATCTGAGAAATTGAGTTGTCCTTTTAGATACACCCTCCTTGGTAAAACATTTAATTTTAAACCAAAATTAAAAACTCCACAAATATTGCATAGAAGGGAAAAATGGTACAGTTGTGATACATGTAAAAAAAAATTCCAAACTGCTACTAATTTTAATATACATATGAAATTTCACACTGGTGAGAAATTACACATATGTGATGTATGTGGCAAACAAGTACACATAATTAGAGATTTAAGAATACACCAGTTAATTCATTATAAAGAAAAACCATACATCTGTGATGTGTGTGGGAAAAATTTTTTAAGAGAAAATACCCTAAAAGTTCATCAGTTGATCCATGTGGAAAAAAAAACATCCAGTTTTTCTGTTTGTGGCATAGAAATTCAGAAAGTAAAGAAACGAAGAACACATAAGAAGATTTGCTCTGGAAAGAAGGTCTACAGTTGTCAGGTATGTGGACAAAAACTGAAAACAGCTTACAATCTAATATTACATCAGAGGATCCATACTGGAGAGAAACCACACATTTGTGATTGGTGTGGTAAACAGTTTGCAAGACCAGAGAGCTTAAAAATGCATCAAATGATCCACACTGGAGAAATACCATACATTTGTAATGTATGTGATAAAAAATTTCGAACAAATAGAGAGTTGAAATTGCACAAGGTAATCCACACTGGAGAGAAACCACACAGTTGTGATGTGTGTGGAAAAGCATTTGCAAGAGAAAATGATGTAAAACAACATAAAATGATTCATAGTGGGGATAAGCCATACAGTTGTGATGTTTGTGGCAAAAAATTTAGAAGAACAACACATTTAAGAAATCATCAGATTATCCACATCAGTGACAAACCATATAGTTGTAATGTGTGTGACAAAAAATTTGCAAGAGAAAATGACCTAAAACGTCATCACATGATCCACACTGGAGAAAAGCCATACAGTTGCAATATTTGTGGCAAAGAATTTAGGCAAGGAGTACATCTAAAAAATCACTTGTCTGTCCACATTAAAGATAAGCCATACACTTGTGATATATGTGGCAAGCAATTTCCAAGATTAGATAACTTAAAACTACATCAGAAGGTTCACACTGAAGAAAAACCAATCTGTTGTTCTGTGTGTGGCATGATATTTAAAGCAAAATCTAATCTAAAAATACATGAAAGGGTCCACACTTGATATGCAGGATTTGGTAGGGAGCTTAAAAACAGTAAGTAACCCAAACTGGGGAAAAATTGTTCAGCAAATAACCTGAGACTATATCAGAGGATCCAAAATGATCCAAAACTATAAATGTAAGTGTAAAATTGATGTGACAAACTATCTGCAAGACAGGAAAGCTTTAAAATATATGAAATGATTCATGCTGGAGAAGAATTATATTTTCATGATGTAACACATATTAAAATATCCTTCAGAGGTATGGGTTTAAGATGACATCACATAATCTACTCTGTGTGCAAAAATTAAGGGCCTAAAATTGTATGAATTAATTACATTGGAGTTAAATCATGTGTATGTGAAGAAACAATGTGCAGCAGTACATAGTTAAGATTACACAATATAATTCACCACTCTGAACATAAATCACACAGCTGTGTTGTATGTTTGTGACAAAAGCTTTGAAACTAAAAATTACCTAAAACATCATAAGATAATCCATACTGGGGGTGGAAGGCATTAAAAAGTGTTTTGTGCATGTGGCAAACGATTTCCAAGAGAAGATAGTTTAAAGTAACCAAAAAGAACAAATTCTATACAATGAAGAAAGCTATTTAGCTGTGCTGGTTGTGACAAAAAGTTTAGATGGAAAACTTATAAAAAATTATCTGTTGATCAGTGTTACAGATAAGTCATATAGTTGTAACATGTATGGTAAACATTTCTTAGAGAAAATAATTAGCTTTAACTTTTAAAGGTTCAAACTGAAAGCATTTATGTGATGTTTCCTTAATAGAAATGATTTATTTGTTATTGAGATCGTATGGTTAATGTTTGGTAAATATTCAATAGTCTGATAAACAATAATGGTTTTTGGAGGTAGTTCAGGGCTGTAAAATCTTCTAGCCTGATGCCTTGGTCTACCAAATTTTGAGCTACAAGAAATACCATATATACTAGCTGAGAGCTAGTCAGTTCTGCTTGCATGAAATCTATGCATGTATGTAAAATCTAACTCTACATATAGTTAATAAAATTTACAAAAATGCTACCTGCTGTTATTTTATCTACTATCTTAGTAATTTTTCTATGATTGGTATCCTGTTTATTAACAATAAGCTAATTCACCAGAAATCCAATATAAAAACACATGCATGGCTCATTTACTGACATTTAAAATTAAAATGTCCAGTTATTTAGCTTTGTATTGGCAACACTTTCTAATCTGAATAATTATTTTTCTCTGGGATTGGAAAAGCTATTTTTAATGCAAATCTTTACTGATATGTGAAAAACAGTTGGATCAAATAACATAGACTACCCTCTTAACAGTGGCTTTTTTCCTAGGTGTGATGAAAAGTGCTAGGTGTTCTGAATTTGATTACCATGTGGTTGTTTTGATTTTTTCATATAAATAAACTGAATAACCTGTCCAGAAATTTTACTTTGTTTGTATATTCTGGCTTAAGTTATTTTCAATATATAAGGAATACCATGATCTGAATATATTTCAAGAATATTAATTTTTATTTTTGTAATAATGTGGAAAAAGTCAATGCAATGATCATAGATATGTATATATTTACAAGGTGTAATAATTTAGTTGTTATAGTGGTGGAAGAAATTATTGTGAATGCAGAATTTCTGCTCAGAGCAGTGCATTTCTCATGCCTACTAGCTTGGACCTAGTTACTACTACATCAAAAAGCTTTATTTCAACCTTTTGGTTGTATTTTGGTTTATATTTTCATTAGTAAGCTTGATTATGTAATATTGTATTTTTATATATATATTTTTTATTAATTTCTGTAAAATTTGCATATTTCTTCTTGAAAAAAATCTATGTAAAACAGTCAAATAGTAGTTTGATATTATGTTCCAGTTGATGTAGGGTTTATTTCCGATTCATATTTAACTAGATAATATGTGTGGACAATGTTGCTGTTATTGTATCAAAGTATAAATCTAAAGTTAATGTACTTATTTTGTATGCTTTGAAATTTCTATCATCATACAGATAAAGGAAGACTTCAGGAGAAGCCTGATTTCGGTAGTCAATGCAAGGTTTAAGCTTTCACATCTGACTCTGTCCATAATGGATTTTTTTACGCTCGAAGAGAAAAAGATTGAGAGGAATTTACTGAAGTGAAATATGGCTGTATCTGTACAATAAACATCATATGGTCCACATGTTACATTTAATCTTACATGTTAACCATATTATGGGTCACAGCAAAACTTCAGAAGGAAATAGGAGTTTCACATTACTGAAAACTGACTTGAAATCTCGGAAGTATCAGTTTCAGGTTACAAAGGTCTGGTATTGTACAGCATTTTGCCAAAATATTTCTTTGTTTTGTTTTGACAACCCACCCACTTACACCCATCCCACTTCCATTCCCTTTGACTACATTTTTAGTATTTTATTATCAAAATGCATTATAAATTAAATTTTAAACACAGAACAAATATTGAAGTATGCTGAAAACATACATGACACATGCTTCTTAATAGTACAAATAAAATGCATGTATAAGGACAAAGATGTGTCATTCATGTTATCTAATTATAAAGGGACGTAAAATGATACTTCTTATAGTCATACAGAAAATATTAATAATGCATAACAAGCATTATAAAGAATCTTTAAAAGCTACTTAAATAATGTTGATTGAGACTAGTTGTATCAGGAAATGAGTCTTAAAATTGCATAAAGTGATACTCATTGAGACTGACATCATTTAAAAAGATAAAATTCAACAGAAAACATGAAATTCAAAAATAAAAAAGTTTTTTTAAGGCTTGGGATTTTATTATCTTAGCTTCAGTCTTTTATTGTTTGTTTACATAGTTTTCACTAACATATAAACAGTGTTAGCCATGTTACTAGAAAAAGTAATGACGTTACCTTGGCTGTTACATGTAATAAATAGTACTATCTTTACACAAAATGGTACTAATTTAAAAATGTAACAAGTAATGACACATTACGCTTTATTTTTCAAATAGATACCTGTATTCTGTGTACATCGTATATTATATATATATGTATATAGAATTGAACTACAAACACTGAATTCAAGACAAAAAAAATGCATTATATGTTGAGAGGTATTATAATAGTATTTAAAGGAGCTACTTTTATTTTGTCTTTATAATATTCAAAGTAAGAACAATAGAGTTTACTTCATGTAATAACTGCAGTGTTAAAACGATTATTTTGGGAGGCAAATATCACTGTTACATTTCAAGAAAACAGCTCTTTCAAAGCTTGCATCAGACATTTTTCCTCAGCATGTCTTTTCCAACATAAAAAATCCTCTTAACTACAGAACTTGAGGGAATAGCTGAAATTAATGAAATGAAAACTGACTTTAAGACTGCATCTGGAAATGCATCATTATGTACAGACTTTCCAATAGATATTTCTAGAAAAGCACCAACTACTGGAGTACTTTTGGCTCCTATTGTTTGCAGGTATCTGAAATAATCATTTTCATCTTCTGTCTCTGTCATGCTATCTTGATTAAATGATTCTGTACTCTATTGTGCTGTGTGTTCTTCTATCTTGCGATCATTTTTTGTCGAACTTGTTCCCTCCGATTTTCTGGAAGCCAGGAGATCTTGAAACTAGGATGAAAAGATGCCAAAACAATTGAATCATCATCATTGAACATTATCAAACCTAGTTTCTATGCTTTGAATTAATACTTCAGCTAGAGATTTACAAAGCTACAACCATTTATTGTTCAAATTGCCTAATTTGGCTAGACAAATAAACAATGTAGGAATCAGTAATCTCATAAATGCTTTTTTCTTACACTGGAAGATGTGAAGTGCTATAGGAACAGGTCTCATAACTTGAACAAAATATTCCAAAATAAAAAAAAAAGTTCTCAGCTGGATCAGCTACAAAATGCTCAGTTGATCAAAAACTCAGTCTAGCGCTTGGTCACATGACTCACTTTCAGATATTAACTTATCTATGTATTGAATTCCAATGAGTTGGACAAGGAACACCTAAGCATTCCCTATTTCTTTCTCAATTGTGTAGGCAGTTACAGCATTTTTGTTCTGGTTATTTCTTAGGGTTTGAGCTTTTGTTGTGGGGTGATTGAGACATTTTTTTTATACTGGTGTTATTTAAAGTTTCATCTACATCAGTAGTAGCAACGAGATTCAATGTATGAAACACACCTTTGATGACCAGGCAAACAGTTAATATATCAGCTAGAGAATGAATTTCTACAGCATCTTCATCTGAGTCATCATCCTCATCTATGACTGCATCATCACCACTACCAGCAACATCACCATGCAGTTGGTCAGGAGTGATGGTGGATGCATTGTTGGAGAACAGTGTATAAAAGAAGTTATCACTTTGCTATTCAAATTTACAACATAAGCACAAAAATAATCTTGACATTTAATCACATGGCTGGTAATCTGACCATGAAGAGCAATGTTACAATCTGATGTCCAATCAAGTGGACCGGAACAACCAACCAACAGATGCATCCAAATATTACTCCTATTTGGATGCATTTGTTGTATATATATTGGATGTTGTGAAATAGCATTGCTTGAAAATGATAGTGAAGGTTTGTCCCCATCTGCAAAATGGCATAGTTATGATCATACATTCTGCCAATTGCTTTTCCTACTGAGGGATGGGTTCGTCTTGCTTTCAATTAGTTTTGCTAGAGCCTCTGCTGTACACAGAATGTCATCAGTAAAGATTAACATACAACAACTTGTTAGACTGTTAAGGTGGACTAGATCCATGGTGATTAAATAGAGACCACCATTCAGTCTCAAGGGTGAAATATGTAATAATGCCAATCTAAAACTTTTACTTGTTTAGGTATCTACTAAACTGTGTGTTTGGTTTAAATAAATTTTAAAAAGTGGGATTTTACATTTCTGAAAATGATCATGTAGCTTTTAAATGTAATTCTGTGGCTATTATACTAATGTCCAACATCAAGTAGCACTTTATATTTCTATTTTAACAGTATTAAAAACATTTTTTCCTTCATTGCTAGATTTATTATTTGCTTTTGTAAAAACTAAATAAAATTTTATTTAGTCTGTGGCTGTAATGTGACTATCAAGTATGAAATATGGCTCCAAGAAGTAAATTTCTTGAAATATTAAGACAAAGTGTAATAGCTTTATATAAAAAGGACTACAGTCAACAGGAAATTTTTCTAAAAAATGGAGGTATTAAAAAGTGTAGTTTAAAAAGTAATCAAAAGATATGATGAAACTGGTACTACTGATCACAGGAGCAGAACACCTAAGCTTTTCAGATCAGATGTTAAGTACCTTATGTATACTGGAATCTTGCTAATAGTATTCAGTAAGATGATGATTTGATGGCCTTTAAGAAGAGGATGTTCCTTCATTGGTTTGGGTAAGGATTTTATTGAAACATCATTTTATTCTTAAAGTATTATTACCAGCTGCTAAGCTATGTTGATACTCTGACAATAATTTCAGTGACTTGGTTTCTGTAAATTTCTTAAAGATGGAGTTCTAACTCCATCCAGACCTAAAGTTCAGTCATTTAAAAGTATTTATAGCTGTGTGTGTACCTTGTCTAAGATGACTTCCATATCCACATGTAGTTGTAACTCAGGTATGGATTATTGAAGTTTGAGCCTCTTCAGTGTGTCACCATGTATCTACACATGAAGGCCTTACTGTAGTGTTCACCTGTATCAAGTAGAGTACCATCACTGAACATAAATGAAATTACCATGTTTTTGGTTCTTTGGCCAGCCATAGGCTTGTGAAAGTGCCAGAATTAAGTGCTTATGAGATTGGTTTTGCTGCATAGTTCATTCAAATTCAGGTCTTATGCTCTGAAAGCTGACCACCTGAAGAAAGTACTGGTTTTGTTTCTGCAGTCCTTACCTCTTCTGTCCAGGCTAGGTCATTCTTTACCTGCATCAATATAGCTTGAATTTAAATTATTGCTTTCCAGGCTTTATCACATCACTGGTCCACCGCTATGGGGAGTTCCTTTTGCAGAAGTTGTTGCTTTGATTTTACTTGGAGGTGGAGAGATGCTTAGGGGTATGAGCACTGGCAGAAAGTTTAAAATCCTTGTATGAGTTTTTTTTAGATTGCTGTATACCAATTTGTCTACTAGTAAAGTGATAACTGTATACATTATGTCTCCTAAACCAGGTAGAAATGATACTCAAAGTAAGGATAGCAAAAACAACATCTATACAGTTGTCTCTGTCATCTTGGTTCTTGAAGAATCTTGTTTGTTCAACAACTAGTAGAAATTGTTGTTTTCAACAGGAACTTTGTTTAATATCTGTGGCTACAAAGGAGGAAGAGGTGATGATCACTGTCAAGAAGGCCTTACAATAAAGATATCTTTAGATACTTTAACTGTTAAGAGTGCCTTGAAATCTAAAACAGTCCAAGAGTGAAGTAAGGTAATATTTAAGAATTGTACAGCCTGTGATGGATTGCTCTAATTAGTGTTCTATTAAAATATGCAAGAGGCACGGACAATCATTACCTTTAATATTTGTAAAATATCTTCAGTTAGAAGCACTCATTCATCACCACTGCTAATGATAACTATCTTATAAAATGGGCTGATGTAAATGGTATACTAAACTGAGCACTGACATGGTAAAATATTTTATGCAAATATTTGAGGTGCCTGTGGAACTTCTCTCCCATTATGGGAAAAACTTTGTTACTACTCTTCATTAAGATGTGAAGTATTATAACTAGACAAAATCAGGACAATGGCTTTCTTCACTTCTCTGGATAAAGTGGTGAAAACTATACTACTAAGTAGTTAAATTAGCTATGTATGTGCCTATGGTATTCTCATATGAACTGTAAATACTATCTTGGATAAGTCTGCCAAACAAGGAAGTGCAGACAGTGCTGAATTTGTATTGTCAGAATTAATGCTAAAAAATAGAATGCAGAGTGTAAAACACTGTGTGTGTGTGTGTATATATTTGCGTAGGGAATGATGATCTACTACTTTCATGAATTTTTCATTGATCACTTGAGGAAAGGCAGGTGGAATAATACTCCGTGAAGACTGGAACTAGATTAACTAAAGGAGAGATTTCTTCTTAAAATGAAACCTCG